GATGCTTTGGCCCACAAGGAAATGGGTGGGAGCGCACACACGGGAGAAGCCGCTCAGGGAGCACCGGGATGCGAGACGAAACTATATTCTAGCAGGATCGGAACGCAAAGGTCATCCACCCTTGTTGCTGTTGTTGTCTTCACAAAAAAAAAAAAATCGCGTCTCCGCGCCGTACCTTGCAACGTGGTCACAAGCCGACTACGCAAGAAAGGGGTACACATTCTAGAACGAAAAAAACAAAAATGGGCCTGAGGACACAGGCTACCGTCAGAGACAGAAGCCGGTGCCGTTGCAATATTCTCCCACTGCCAAAGGTGGCTATTTCCTTTCGTGAGATGAAACGAGGAGAGATGCAAAGAAAGAGAGAGTGGCCTCCAGAGGACAGAGGAAGGAGAGGCGAAGACTCTCCGCCTCCGATCTCGGCAAACGGCCAAGGACTTCGAAAGAGACAGATCTCAAAGGTGCATTTATTGTCACTTGTCCCGATGGCAAGTTGCTCCGATGGATCGTATCCTCCCATACTTTGTATGTGCAGAAATGGTTGGTTACATTCCGGCAGATTCCTCGACAGACCCAGAAAAAATCCTCCAAACGAGGAAACACTAGTAGCATACTTGGACCCGAAAAATGGAAGTCTCATCAATGAAGCGTCTTGCGTCGAACGTGCTATGTATCTCGCCAGCCAGAGCACCACATAATGCCCTGCGGGATATGATATAATCCCTTACCGTAAAGAGGAAGCGGTTCATCCTACCGCTCGCTCCTAAAACGCCGTGCCTCCCGCTGCCCGCCGAGAGGGCGCGTCCGCCAGGGGTGACGACTGGCAAGAGAAATCGACAGCAACATCGGCAACGACCGACGCGCCGCATTACATCGACGTCAGAAGCAAAGAGAGAAGGCGGTGGCAGCAGCAGCAGCAGCAGCAGCAGCAGCAGCAGCAGTCAGAGCAGCCACGAGCGGAGCGCGGCATACGTTCGGCTTAAGAGAGCAACAACGGTTGGAAGAGCAATCGCTGGGTGCATCATGGTGACTAGACTAGGTACGTTGGGGCGCTTCATTGTGAAATTTTGATTTTGACGGACGATGTCAGTGGAACACACTGCTGCATTTATAATAGCTGAACGTGACACGAGGTGGTTGGTAACTCGGCAAATTAAGGGTCAGAGAAGCCACGGAAGCCATGAAAGCGTCGGAATCGGAGCACATTCTGTCGATAGAGTACCGACTGCAACGCAAGGGCCAACCAATAACCAACATCCAACCGCCGGGGGCGTTCGCCGGGGCACCCTCGAAAACCGCTATTCCATACCACCAAACTCCCACGGAACAATCGATCGCTCCGTGCCCCTTCGTCTGGTTCATTCATCCTTATCCTGGTGAAGCGTACCCCGGGCCGGCGAAAACCCGGAAGGCGTATCGCTCCGTCGTAGGGATGCGAGGCCAATAGTCCAACGAATACGGCATGCTTTGATATGAGTAACCCCCCCCCCCCCCCCCCCCCCCCCCCCCCCCCCCCCCCCCCNCCCCCCCCCCCCCCGCCCCTCCACTCACGCAAGGAGTGCGTCTCCCCCAGCGACGCGCGGTACGCCCCCGTAGCGCTCATGTCCCTCAAGCCGCACAACCAGTCCACCAGGCTAACATCGTCATGGCTGCCGCCGTTCCCCTTGAGCTTGTTGTCCTTGTCCTTGTCCTTGTCCTTGCCCCCATGGTGCGAGCGTATCCAGGGAATGGCGTTGCCTGCTCCGGGCCTTCCTTGGAAGAGGAGGTCTAGGACGCCGGAGACGTACCCCCGCCGAAGGGAGCGGAGACCGCTGCAATGACATGCCAAGCCATGTCAGGATATTTCATGTCATGTCACGGCATGCCATGTCGTGTCATGCCATGTCAAGTCATGTCAAGTTATGTCAAGCCGTGTAACGTCTGGTATGTCATGTAACGCCATGACAAACACACGCGCGGTGAGGAAAGGTACAGCCGCAGCGATGCAAAGAGACGAGGGTTGTTGCGGGTACAAGATGAGCCTTCCTCTCCGCGTTGTGATGCAAACATAGATAGGGGGATTGGGATGCGTAACGTTTCCGTGCGGTGTGCTCCAAGAAGCATACTTCAAAGTACATATCATATCCCTTCGGCTCCCCGGTGGGTGCATTCAGCGCATCGAGCTTCGTCGATGAAGCCAGCGCGGCGTGAAGCCTTAGCGGCGTGAAGGTGTTGTACAGCAGTACTGTGTACTCGCCAAGAACCAACCGTAAGTACCAAGTGAGACCGACGGTATGCAAGCGCCCCGTGGTTATGTACAGTAGGTCTCGCTTCCCCTAGCAACTCTCTAACAAACAAAAAATTAGCAGTCTAGGTGTGCGTGCCCACCATTACATAAAAGTCATAAAGCAATGAGAGACCGAGGACCGCGCGCTAACGGTCGACTAAAGATCACGATCACGACATCAGACGTGCATTCAACGCGCGGGCTCACTGTCGACATCAGCAGGACAGCATACAAATCCCACGACGCAGAGAGCGAGGATCGATAAACGGAACACAAATGAACACAGAGACCCACGTAACCACACGCACACACACGCTTACCGCGAAGCAGCCAAGAGGTGAGCCACGTCCCTCGGGGTGCCGAAGGGGACAAGGATGCAGCCTTGCAGGACCTCCAGCGGCAGGCCAGAAAGCTGGGAAGGAAGTATCATGCGAAAGAGACCCGTGAAGTGCGGTATGCATAGATGCATGCATCGGGAAACACAATCAAGTCTCGCCGGACATATTGCGCGAGATGGGCGGTTTTGTTGGACATCGACGACGGATAACAGTAGTGGATCGCGGATTGCGGGCGTTCGTCTGTTCTTCGAGACCACACCGCCGCAAGCAGGAAGCTGTTTGAAGCTGTTGATCTAGTTGGGTGTTCATGCTGTCAACTATGTGTGCTCGTATTAGTCTACCGACAGCGTGTTGCTTCAATTCCCAACATTAATTGAGCGAGAGTAAGCAAACACGAATTTGTGGTGCACAGCGTACCTCTGCCTCGCTCGTCACGTTAACACAGCAACACAGCCAGGGCAACCAGAGATCCAGAGCAGAGCGAGCAGTAGCGGTTGGACAGAGATTGTACCGCGCAGCAGCCTCAGCAGATACTCTTTGCGGCGTAACATTTTATTTTTTTCTTATTATCACAGAACGAGATTTTTCTCACCTCGCGTACCATGATAGCGTCACGCCCTCACCGGACCACCCACAACACTGCCGCAAAGTGCGACGATGCGCGGCAGAGAAGGTACACCAAGCAACCCACGGTACATCACATGCCAGCACGTGACAGCGTCCGGTGTGGGTGGGTCCGGTCGCAGTTTTTCAAACGCCCAAGGCAGCGGGGTATGATGTAGGGGCCCCGCAGTAGTGGGGTCTCCATGAAGTCTCTGAGGCATTTTCCCAGACAGATTTGAAATCGAGCCAGCGGCCAGCGGGCTTCCAGCCAGCTCTTCGCCGCTGCCTGTATCGCCCACGTGCGAGCTCTCCGACGCAGTGCGGGTGGGAAGGGATGTCGGACTCTCTGCAGAGCAGCTTGGCCTCTTCCGGAGGAAAGGATGAAGTGGACCGTCCGCTGTGTGCGGTCAAGTTCAAGGTGTCACGGCACCAGAGAACGGTCGGCGTCGCGGCGAGGATGCCTCGACAGCGGGAAGGCATGGAAGACAAGGTGGCGTGGCAGGCAGGATAGGACGTGTACTAGTGCCGTGTGCTGCTTCTGTCGTTCGGCCCGTTGCATCGTTTGAACCATGGCGACACAGATCTGTTGCAATAGTATGCATACCTGACGAATGGAAAAGGGACCGCGCGGTGGGCGATCAAATTTTGAAAACAGCAACACATATCCACCGCCTTGCGTGAAGCTTCCGCGTGCTCTTGCAGACAGAGCGTGTTGTAGACCATGGTCCTGAGTAAGAGTCCGCTTTTCTTGCTAACTGTCTCGAGCATGCGGGCTGCGTGCTGTCGCACATGGGGCACGCATTTAGGGGGGGGCTTCGCGGTACATGACAAGACGGGAATATGCGAGCTCTTCGAAATTTGAATTTCTAATTCCACCTTCGGACCTGGTCTGCACTCACTCGATGGCGAGTCTTTTGGAAAGCAATCACACCTTCACGCGTTGATCAAGGGCCCGTTCGCTTAGAGTGCAGTCAGGGACAAGGGCCACCCGCAACCTTGCCGATGGCCATGCTGGTTGACGTGCTGAGTGTTACTGCTGCTTTCTCTCGTTCTCTACCTGTAGACTAGTGGAGCGCCCTCAATGAACGCCGATGCGAGCCCGGCGCAGCGACCGGCACTATTCAATGTAATTTAGAGACTGACTTGGTGAGTTCAATCTGTGCCCAGCAATTCCACCGACGCAATATAGGGCCACCGGCGCTAATTCACCGGTGTTATTGACCCCCCCCTTCTGTGCTGTGCTGCTGTTGCGAAGGTACGATGGACTCTTGTGGTCTACGAGTTCTTGGACAACGACCAGTTCAGCAACCTCGACACCCTCATGCTGCAGCTCGCGCCGGGGCAGTGCCTGCTCACGCTGGATGCGGGCGCCGCCGAGGGAAAGCCGCGGGGTGACATGGCCAAGGTAAGCACTGGGATCAAGTTTGACCACGCTACGGTACGTCGGATACCACACCCTCTGGATCGATTTTCAAAACTCGCGTACCGCGAGAGGCGGGTGGATAGCACCTCCCCTAGGGCGACTTTCGAAGCTCGATTGCTCAGATTGTCTGTACCGTACCGAATACCGTACCGTGGTATTCCGTAAGAGTCGGAGAGATGGCACATCCCCCAGACCGACTTTCAAAGCTCAATTGCTCCATATGTACCCAGTTGGGTACACATGGTACGGAAAGCGCCGGATAATTAATTCTAAGGAAAGCCCTCAACCAGATGTATCCAAAACCACCCTTTTTACGGTGATAGCACAACCTTGGTTGTGGAACAATCGAGTTTTGCAAATCGATGAAGGGGGGGGCGCCATCTCTCGGGCTCCCAGGGTAGTCTATGCACACACAGCAGCAACAACAGCAGTGACGGTGCCGAGAAAAGTGGAAGACTTTCGAATCGCCTCGTCGAGAGCGTCAAACATAGCAGATGGTTTCGGAGTCTTCGCCATAGGTGGAGTAGTCGAGCGTTGAAAAGGAGGGTGCGATGTGTTACTGCAACAAACAGAACTAACTCCTGTTGCTTTCGCTGTGTGTGAGTCCGCAGCATCATAGTCCCACACAGGGGCAACGCCCCCGGCAAAGCTCGGAGAAGGCGCGCATTGCCTTTGGACACTCATGCGGAGGCACTCTTTCGTCAGTCAGACAACCGTAGTTATTGTTCAGCTTCGTTTTCCGGTATTTCTCCATCTCTTGCATATCTCTTCGCTATCTTCTCCACTTGATCTCCCGACCTCTTCGTGGTTTTTGTGGTCTGCTGTTGATTTGGGGTTGCTATTCGTAATGAAGGTATCCTCCCTCTGCCTCCCGTGTGCATCACCGTGCTGGAACCTTGCATTCTTCCTCTTGCCCGGCCTGCCGCATGCCACTACATTTTTTTTCTTGTAGAGAAGTGTTCCCAAGCGTGCTGCACCCCCCCGGCAGACTACAATATTACAGTATTACAGTATGCGGTTGCCCGCCCCCTTCAGGAGATTACTGGTACATACTATGGGTGAAGGTACCCTAGCTGGTCGTAGATCTCGCACGAAAACAGGCATTCTCACAGGATATTACGTACCATATCTTTCCGCCCCCTCCTGACCAAACACGAGGATGATGACCAACTCCTGGTTAATCCTTGTGAGACGTCGTCTAGCATGGGCCGGCGAAAAACGGCATATCGCTCCGTGCCGGCATACGAGGCCTAACAACTACGGTGTGCATTTACATTATTACACCCTACCTCCCCCCTCCCGCGGTTTCACGTGCGTGTCTATCTGTGTGCAGGTGCTCGCCGCAATGGAGCGCCTTGACGTGGCCGTCGAGGACGTGAAGGGGGGTCAGTTCAAGACCGACGACATCGCCGGGCGGATGAAGGACCTCTTGGGGGACGCCTCCCTAGCACAGTACTCCCTCGCCAACGAGCAGCCCCTCGGAAGCGCTTGCCTCGTGAGTATGTGGCTGGCGTACCCGCACCTTATTTCGCTGCGGTGGTGATCGATGTGTCTGCTGCCGAGTGCCTCTTGGCTCCGGCGACCAGGGGGAGAGGATGATGATTTTTCCTGTTGTGTTGCTGGGGTGTTGCTGTTGGTGTTGCTGCTGTTGCTGTTGTGCGGTCTTGTTGTCGTTGATTGTCAGGCGCCATCGCCCGTGCGCCGTCGCATTTCCAAGCCAATCCAGACGGGGCCGGATGCAAGCGACCGTGGTCCAATTGTGTCCTGCCACGTCGGTCCTCTTCATCTCCGTGAGAACCATCTCTTGAGATGTTTCGACGTCTTGCGTGTCACTCCTGCTGTTGATGATTTTTCTGAATCAAAGGCAAGCAACGCATGTGGAAGGTGGACAATAATTTTTGTAAGTCCTCCTGTTGACCCCGGCTGATGAATCAACCATGCAACGACGGACGAAACACGCACACTTTCTTCTTTCGATCCTACCGTCGCCTTGTCAGGCGGCGTTGATGGGCCGCCTCGAGCGCGAGGACAAGGACTACCAAAGCGAGGAAGGGGAAGGAGAATCTCCGGAGATGCCGTCCTACGCTTTGGTACAGGGGACGCTGCAGAAGCATCTGCGGCTCGACAGCGCAGCGGCGGCAGCGGTCACCCTGCTCCCGGACCCCACAGCCCCTCACCAGTACGGCAGCCTTTTCGACGTGCTAAACAGGTGATTGGCGAACTACGTTCCGACGTGCATGCGCTGTTGGAGGTGCATTTACCGTGTATGTCTTGGTGCGGGATGACTTGTGCTCTCGTGTTTTGGGCTCTCTTTCCCCCCAAGCTCTTTGCCTGTTGGTTGGCAGCAGCAGCAGCAGCAGTAGCAGCAGGAGGAGGAGGAGGAGGAGGAGGAGCAGGAGCAGGAGCAGGAGCAGGAGCGTCCTTGGTTGTTTTATCTTCAATACTAGTCCCAACCCTATCCCATCCTATAACCTACTCGTAACCCTAATTTTCAACACAGCTGCGTACTTTCGAGGATCAAGCACATGTTTGGTGGTTATTTATAATTTGCCCTTCGCCCCGCCGGTTTGGCTGCACTGCGCCACAGTCTCAACACAAGTTTCCGTCGTCCCTTGAGACTACCGTTGTTGTGATGCACCAGCTATAGCGACGACCAGCGGTGTTGCGGCTATAGCGACTTGTATCGGCCCGTAGGAGACACAGTCGAACACGCGTTGGTCTATGACGACAATCGCCCCGTTGTTTAGAAGTACACGCCCCAACATTTAAGTGCTCCCGGTCGCGAAGCCGTGTCTGTTGTTGTTGTTGTTGTTGTTGTTGTTGTTGTTGTTGTTGTTGTTGTTGTTGTTGTTGTTGTTGTTGTTGTTGTTGTTGTTGTTATTGTTGTTGTTGTTGTTGCTGTTGTCTCCACGTTGACAGCCGATCTGATCTCTGTCATACCTTATAAGGTCGGTTCTGATCAGACCGTACGCACGCCTTGCTTGGTCACGGGGCTATTGGTAAATTGGACTAAATTGGAGTATTGTAGTGAACGGACCCAGAGAAATGAATCCGACCTATAGTAGATAATAACCAAATTGCTGATGGCGTTCCAACTGAGGTACGATGCGATACGGTACGCTGCTGTTGACACTTGAGAACGCTGCTTGGTGTAGGGGTGCCCGCCATGCCTCTTCGTGGTTCATTTTCCAGCTTGCATGCGAAATCGTGTGCTGACTGGTGTGGCGTGGTGCGGTTCTGGGTGTGCTGTGGGCATGTCGTGCGGTGTGTGCTGTGTTTGGTGTTTAAGGTGCAAGACAAAGATGGGCAGCCGGTTGCTGGAGCGGTGGTTGAGGCAGCCCCTCACCGATAAGGTGAGGAAGACGCCTTCCATATCCTCAACACCACAACTCCGTGAACCTTTCACCTGTGGGATGATTCAGTATTGATACTGTAATACTGTAAATTGTACCATGATAGCCCGGCCGACTCCGTATCCCTCCCTTGCTCTTCCCACGTACGGCCTCTGCTGTGACAAACTGCCCGTAGGGCCGGTCGCCCTGAAGAAGGCCAATGAAATCGCGCAACACGGATGGAATATTCCATCTGTCTCACACTCACACTCACACTCACACTCTGACTCTGACTCTGAGTAGTGCCCGGTGCCTGTTGTGAGTACACCCAAGTTGAGGCCGGCGAAATCCGTTGGCACTATTTTGCGGCGTTGTACGGGCATCACTGCTGCGGTCTTGACCCGGCATATGCCATTCCCCTCCCTCCTTCCCTCCCTTCGTTCCATTAGCCCTGTCTTAGGTAGCCTCAAGTCTTGTTGTCCTTGCCTTGCAACCGTTGCCCGCACCGAACATATACTGCACTGTAGCAATTAGACACCAAACCGTTCAACCCAGAAAGGATTCTTGCCTCGGCCTTTTCTCAGCTAGATACTGACAAACGAGACCTTTTTAAACTGTTGTCAAACACGGCTAAATGATGTATATGCTCGGCCTGTCGTTCTACCAATCTCGGCTGCCTGAACTCGGGCACCCGATATCCACATATATTGACATGACATGTCGCATCGAACGCTACATCACCCGGTCTCTGACCATTTTATTGACTCTCCTTGCTGCTGCTTTCCGTCAGCTCCCTTTTCTTCTCGATTTGTGCTCGCATCAACTGGTTGCGCCTCCTGCCCGCTGCACAACACTGCTCCCGCTGCACAACGCTACAGGCGGAGATCGAACGGCGGCATGACATGGTCGGGCTGTTCAAGGACGAGGCAGGACTGCGGGGGTCCCTGCAAGACGGTCCTCTCAAGGCGTGCCCAGACCTCGATACCCTCAAGACCAAGATGCAAAGGAAGAAGGCGGGCTTAATGGAGGTATGGTGTGGTGTTTACCGCTGTGTGTAAGAGGGGGGGGTGCATGGAGGAGAGACAGAAACCACGAGCGGAAAACGAATTGGTGTATGCATGGTGTTTGATGCCGATGTTACTGTTATTGCAACAGCCAATAGCACGTTCACCTTTTCCCCCATTGTTGTTGCGTGTTTTGTTTCTTTCGTTTTTTCGTGTCTGAGTCACGCAGCGTCACTTGTAACGCTTAGCCTAAATCCTTGCCATTCATCATGTCAAGTTTAGTCACGAGCACCGCCTGCGTTCACCCACGCCTAGACTTGAGGCCAACGGAACCTGCTTTGTTTTCCTGCTCTCACAACATCAACCGGTATGGTCCAAATCCTCCCATGCCACAACGCTTTAAGACTTTGAACCGCGGCCGGTGCCGTGCTTGTACAGTAGGAAAACACCCCCTTCCCGTCTCCTGGACCATCCAGGTGTTCAAGCTCTACGTGTTTTCACGGTCCGTGCATACCTTCGGAGATGTCCTTTCGGGGCACTTTGGTGAGGACGAGGGGGAGGAGGGAACAGAAACAGAGAAGCTGGTCAAGGACAAGTTTGTCAAGGGCTTCGCCAAGCTCGCTGATGGGTTCTCGCGCTTCCTGCAGGTGAAGGGGGGGGTTAGTCGGGGGGAGGCGCTTGTTGGAGAGGGATACTGTAGAAGGATGGCGACTTTTCGCGCCGGGATGGTGTTCACGGGCGGGATGGATTGGGGGGTGGGGGATAGGGGATGAAGCGTGCCACCGATACAGCGTGCCACCGATACAGCGTGCCACCGATACAGCATGCCAAGTGTAGTGTAGTATTGTATAGTAGAACTTCGAAGTAGTTTAGTATAGACTAGTATAGTTTAGTGTTGTAAAAGTAGTATTCATCCGTATAGTATAGTATCGTATAGGATAGTATTTTCGTGCTAGTATCGTATCGTGGATGTAGTAAAGCGTTTTCGACTTGCCCCAGTTTGAGAAACCGCCGGGAGTCTTTTCCATTCACAGACTGCTCTCTCTAGAATCCACCCGTTCATCAAGTGTGCTCTGGATAAACCAGAGTCCGCAATCTCGTGTTTGACTTGCCCCGTCCTTCTCTTGGCCTTGTCGCTGTTTCTGCGCTGGCTCTTTGTGTACCGACGCCTGCTGTGAGCATCCCTTTCGCGAAAACCGTAGCGCGGCACCCACTTGCTAGTTCTTCTGGATGGTGATGTTGTAGTTTTAGTTTGACTATGTGCTGTTGCTGTTGTTGCCTTGGTCGTTGTTGTTTTATGCTCATGTTGCTGATGTTGTTGTCGCTCTTGGTTGTGACCATTTCTTGTTGCCTTGATGTTGCTGATGCTGTTGCTGTTGTTGATGATGTTGCTGATATAGAAGTATGTTGTTATTGTTGTTTGTCCAGCTGGTGGAGCACGTCCTGGACATGGACGCTTTGCCCGACCTAGTCGTCAACTCGTCGTACAGCCCCGAGCTAGGGGAGCTGAAGGAGGAGATGGACCAGATCAAGGAGGAGGTGGAGGACCTACACCAGGAAGCGAGGGATGGATGGTGCGACTTCGGGGAGAAGGTGATTGCGATGGCGACCATCATGACAATAGTAGCATCTTAGTGGCGACATGATAGTGGTAGCATGATGGCGGTGTCACCATCATGATTATGGTAGCACGATAAATTTGGCATCGGTGATAAGTCAACCTTGTGCAACTGCTTAGCATTGCCGGTGAGTCTTGTTGTCCTGTATTTTTTGATTCGTTGCCCAGCTGCACCCCGTGGGCTTTCTTGTCGAGCATGGGCATTTGCTTTTTCCCATCCCGTTTACTTGTTGGCGTACGGTATCTCCCACATTATTCCTACCCTACGGCCTATGCCGCTCTGGAATGTACGGTATGGGTGTTTTGCAGTATGATGTGATGTGGTGTGTGTTCGAGGGGTGGCAGGCACATACATGAAGCCTGTAGAATACCGGGGGGCCAACGTGGGGAGAGCTAAGGGTTAGGGTTAGCTAAGCCAGAAAATACACAGGGGTGCGCCACGCCCACAGCTACCAGCTACCACAGCTACCTGATATGTATCCCTTGGATCTGGCTCATTTTCTGAGGGCGCATCCGTTTGAAGCGATCGATGCCTGCGCCCGTCCCCCTTTTCTTCATCTCATCGATGGTAAATAGCGATCACTCCTAGCCCTATCTCTCGTTGTTCCCCTTCTCCATGACGTTGTTGCCGCTGCTGCTGCTGCGTCTCCTGGTACTGTTGTCTGTGTGTTTCGACCTTGGTCCCTGGTGCATTTTGATGCATCTTGATGCACGTCTTGATCAGGACAAGTGTCTGCTCGACGAGGACAAGCAGAGAGGCTTCTTCTTCCGCCTCACCAAGGCCAACCTAGAGCAGGTGACGACGTCACGCACTGCCTGTATATGAGGTCGCGTGTGCTACATACGGAGTCATGCCGTTTAGGTCCGTATGCCCAAGTCAAGGCGCGGAAACCACGAGCAACAGTGGTCAAGTGTTTTCTTCGTCGTTTGGTCGTTGCGTACGCTATCGCTGTCGTCCTCCTTGTTCTGTTTTCTTGTCGTAGTCTCGTATTGTTGTCCGTACAGTAGTTGCCGTGTTGAATTCTCTTCTCGAACGAACCAGGGCTTGACGTACCAGTAGCATGCACGAGAGGCCGATCATCGCCCGGAGCACGATTCTCCCCCCGTACCCCTTCCACTTGCGTGGGAACTAGATCGCCGAACAGACGGTGTGTTCACCATGGCGCTGCCGAAGATTGGAGATCGAACGCAAGAGATGCCCGAAAGAGCGATGCCAGAAATTTCTGCGTGTCTGTTGATGCCCGAATGAGTATCGCAGAAACTTTCGTAGCTTGACCATTTCAACCTTCCGCCTGACACTAGCGGCCGTCCCCCTCCGGTGACATATCTGGTTTGGCACAGCAAACGCAAGGATTATGACCAGCTTCTGGTTTTATCCTTGTGAGACGTAGCCTGGGCCGGCGAAAACCCGGAAGGCATATCGCTCCGTCCTGACGACGTAGGGATGCGAAGTCAACGGTCTAAAGCTTACGGCATGCTTTTTACATGAAAACGCCTTCCCACCCCCGTGAAAAACCGGTTTGGTAGGAACTAAAACGGCGAAGAAAGGGTGTAGAAACCCTGGCGGTGCTCAAGAACGGCGTCCACTTCACGACTTCAGAGCTGAAGAAGCTGGGGTCTCGGTACAAATCCTGCCGCCTCGAGTACGAGGAGAAGCAGTCCGGTCTCGTTGAGAAGGCCGTGGAGACTGCCGCGACTTACCTCCCGCTCGTGGAGTCCGCCAGTGCTCTCGTAAGCATCGATGTTGTTTGCTTGTTTGTTCTGGGGGGAGGTTAGCCTAACCCTACCTTAATTAATTGACTTGGTACCTCCCGCTCGAGGAGTCCGCCAGAGGTCTCCTAAGCATCACTGTTGTTTTTCTTTTTTCGTTCTGCAATTGTTTTCTCCCACTGACTGCGCAGACTTGGAAGACATTCCCCTTCGACCATTATGGTTGTATCTCGAACGGGTGGACTAGTCAGTCGATCTTCTGTCATTGTATGCATCGTCATTGTCACATTGCCACAAGATGAACCAAGCCACACGAGTGTTGGAGGCTTTCCGTTTCGTTTGGACGGCAGGCAGGCGAGGTATTAGTACTTCCCTTTCACGTTCCCTTCCCTTGAGAAGAGTAGAGTAGGACGGCACCTCCGGCGGCAGCGCTAGGACGAACGCTACTACTGTCGTCGTCTAAGGCTAGGGCCGCCATGCACTGATGATGTCATCATCACGTGTATCGCTGTCGGGCCGGCCGACGCTGCTACCGACATGCAATTATGAGATATGGCGCTGTAGTCAATGCTAGCGGCATCAAATCACCTCGTGACGCCACGGTAGTGAATGGTAGTGAATGGTAGTGAATTGAATGCCTCATGACGACGTGATGCCGACACTGCAGGTGAGCGAACTGGACATCCTGGTGTCGTTCGCCGACGTTGCGGCCCTCGCTCCGACCGAGCTGGTCAGGCCCACGATGAAGGACAAGGGCACCGGAGTACTGAAGGTGATCGGGTGTCGGCACCCCTGCCTGGAGTGGCAAGACGAGATGAACTTCATCCCGAACGAGTGAGTGGTAGCAACGAAGCTCAAGAAGATTATCATGACCATGATCAAACAAAGAATGGGCGTGTGGACTGGCTGAATACATAACCGACGGTGTTTGGAAGGCGTTTTGCCTCATCTGGTACTCATGATGTTTCCGGGCTCTGAGTCAAGACCGAAGCCTAAACCTCAGCGAAACTAGGTGACGGTGTAAAGGGACGCGGGTCGTCTACTGTCGTCTTGTATTGCTTGTGTCATCGTGTCATCGTGTCATCGTGTCATCGGTATTTCCCGGTTTCCACTTGTGGGGGTGTTCAGATGTAGAGTTGTTGCCACGATACGTCGCTGAGGCGTAGACGCCCATCGATTCAAGGTTAGGGTTAGGGTTAGGGCTAGGGCTAGGCATATCGTTGCGTACCCATGAAACGTCCCATTCTGTCGACGGATCATCGCACTCGAATCATGTGGTGCAGTGTTCTCCGACCGCCTCCATCACGCCTCCCCCGCCCCGCGTAGTTTGCTGCAGCTCGTCATCCCTCTCCTCCCTCAGGCCCGTGCCATCTATACTTTCCTGCACTGCACTCTACCAGAAACTGTTCGTCCTTTTTTTTTCGTGCTCCTCACGCACTACTGTTGTTCCATACGATAACCCTGCCCACGAACACACGCACGAATCTTGACCTTCTAGGCCCGCTTCCAGTTGCCTTGGTTTACCCGCTACTGCACTGTTACACCGACGCTGCATACGTTCATTGATGAACCCGTCCACGCAGTCGATGCTAACCCTAACCCTAGCCCTAACCATGAACACGCATACACCAACGCACGAAGGCACCTCCCACTGCCGGCTTACTGGCAAAAACACACCCCGTCTGCCATGTACGCCCATCTACGTCTTGTCGTGACAGCTACGACATGTCTAGCGATGGGGCGAGCTTTGTCGTGGTAACCGGACCCAACATGGGTGGCAAAAGTACCTACATTCGTACGCTCGGGGCGGTGACCGTCATGGCCCAGGTAAGCAATCGAAACCTTTCAATACCTCAAACCGTTAGGCCCAGGAGAGCTTGGGTTAGGGGTTAACCGGATCTTTGTCAGCTGTTCTTCTGTCATCGCTTGCTGCTTGGCCGTCTGTGTGCCGTCGTGAGAGGGTGGTATCTATGGTATCTATGGTACCTATGGTATATATGCATGGCGTGCTGTACTATTGTATGTTTTCGATCTCGCGGGGTGCATCATCTCCGTAATCTCCCGAAGTATGCCTGCTGCCGTCCCTTCGAACGCGAACATGATCGACCACGTGGATTCGTTTGCCGTTGCGGGCCTGCACCCTCAGAAGTGCTACTTAAGTGGTGGTCCCGGTATAATGCCGGTGCGACCCAGCCGATTTCAGCGGCATGATAGCGGGCAACTGGCAATGTTCAGAGTATGCAACGGCTTGAAAATTCCATCCATGCCAGACGATTTCACCGGCATTATTCCGGGACCCATTTTGCTGCTGTAATGCTATATCGTACTTGGAAGTATGCATGTGAAGTAACGCCGAAGAATGAAGCTTGTGTACCGTCTCCTCTACAGCCCCAAGACCGACGTGGGTAGGAATGTCTGAGTATGAGGTGACGCTTTCGGGTGGTGGCGGTGCGTCGGCCGCTCGACTTCGACTTGAACGTACCACGACCTTCTAGCGCCGAGATGACGTACGCTTTGGCATTCCCTGTGAGGCCGTGATTGACCACGGCCTGACTGACTTTTGTGTTTTGTTTTCTCTCGTTGCAACCTTGTTGCAAACCGTAGTGTCTCATTATCGGTGTCATTTCACCGTCGGGTGCGTATGACGATGATCGAACCTACCGTACCAGGTGGGCAGCTTTGTCCCGTGCGAGACCGCCGAGATGAGCGTCCGGGATGCGGTCTTCGCGAGGGTGGGAGCCGGCGATGCCCAGCAGCGAGGGGTGTCTACTTTCATGGCGGAGATGTTGGAAGCGTCAGCGATTATTTCCGCCGCGTCGAAGGACTCTCTCATCATCATCGACGAGCTTGGGCGAGGTCTGTGTCGGTGTATTTGTTTTTGTTGTTTAGCGGTTCTGTCTTCTTCTGGGTGACCTTCCGGGTCTCTTTGGCCCCCTTGGATGGTTTTACAATGGTCGTGTGTATAGTTTTCTCGCCGTGACTTGAACGCGATACATGTGCGTGGGTTTGACGCGTACCACGTCGATGGATCAGAGAGAAAGGGAGAAGGAGATCGAGAGTTTTTGGTCACGAGGAATGGACTTTGATTGCTGACAGGCGAGGTTGGGGTTGCCTTCATGTACTACTGTAATGTAGTAGTTCGACCACCGACTAGTCCCTGACGAGTTTGCGACTGATCACTGGGTCGCGAAAATACACCAAACACTGCAAAGCCGAGCGGAGCTTCTAGATGATGCCATCGTTCGCTTCGATGGACCGGGCTCCCCTGTATCGCTCTTGTCTCTCCTCCTTGCTCTGTCTTCCTCTTGGCCCCGTTGACCAACACAACCACGCCAACACGTGAACGACAACAGGTACTTCGACGTTCGACGGCTTCGGGCTGGCATGGTCGATCTCGGAGCACATCGTCAAGACCATTCAGGCGCCGTGCCTATTCGCTACCCACTTCCACGAGATGACCACTATGGCGGAGCATGACAAACGCGTCAAGAACTTGCACGTCACTGCAGAGGCTAAGGTAATACCCCACACACAACCTGACCCATCTTTTGTAAAGTAGGAAGGAGGAAGGAGCTATTGGCATCGGTGATCGGTCCTGTGGGAACAAAGCTCCGTCCTCTCGGGTACGCGTGGTCAATGGTCTTACCGCCAGGGCATGCAAAACATTAGAGTACACCCCACACGCACACCCTGAGCCTGAGCTTCTAAAGCCAGCATCACGCGCGTGTCCCAGCATGGTAGACTATTGTAAGGGGGTGTCTTGACCTTTACCCGAAGCCAAGTCCACGCGTCACTCAAGAAACCGTCTCTCTCTGTTGTTTGTGTTTGGAGCCTTTGAGGCTGGTACCGCTGGGCGAACACGCTCTGCAGTCTTTCTGTTGGTGCTGGTGGTCGCTCTTTTCTTTTTGCACGCATTTATTTGTTTAAGGCTATTATTGGGTGACAGTAGGATTTACGTATCCTGGTAGGTTGTTTTTTTACATCACACGCGAGGTTCGTTCAGCCAGTGCTGTGGCTGCGGCTTGCGTTGACCCTTCTCTCAGTATTCCCCTGCACCTGCTTGCTCCGTGCCTTGTCAAAATACTCGGTGCCGTGTGCCATCTGTCGTTCTTCTTATTGGCGTGTCTGATACTGTGTACTCTACTCAATACTCTATACTCCATACTGTACTGTGTACTGTGAACTCTATACTGCATACTGTGCACTAGATCGGACGAGATGGCCATGTAGGGTTATCGCCAATGTTAACGTTGTTCTCCACGGGGAGAGTTGTTGACAGGCCTTGTCACCGTCGAAACATTTCTCTGGCTTTCAATCTGTCTCGTATTCCACGCACTTGTACACAAGATATTTTCGATTCTTTTCTTTTACATTCCCTTGTATGCATTCCTCGTTTTTCTTATTTAACGGTCCTTGTTTCGTGTAGTGTTTTCCTTGTTTCTTATATTTTCTTGTGATGCATTCCTTATCTCTGTGTCCATTGTTTTCACTCTCATTGTTGTTTGTACATTCCTTGTACTCCTCGCGTCCTCCAATCGTTCAATCTTCCTTCTTTCCTTCCACCAGGAGGACAAGATCACCATGCTCTACGAGGTGCGGGAAGGTCCTTGCCTGGAATCCTTCGGCATTCACGTGGCCACCATGGCCGGATTTCCCAGGTAAGTCTATCTACTTACGACATCCACGCCTCCTCCAAGATCCACGCGAGCTACTGTTGCCTCTTTGAAGCGTAGGAGAGTGTGAGGAGGGCTCTGAAAATGCTGCGGTGTAGCATCATCTTGTCGTCTGCGTGCCGTGTATGTCCTCCTCGAAAGCGAGGTCGATGGGGCATGTCATTCAACACACGATGGCGTCGGCACCTACGTATATACCTTGAAGCGTGTCGAGAGCTTGACCAACTCGGATGTATGTTTGGTCTAACCAAGCTCGGGCGCGCGTGTTGCCGTGACATGGCGAATCACCCGTCTCGGTGTCGCGATGGCACCGAACTCATGATGGCCTGTATATAAGTCGTGTTGGCAAACGGCTCCGCTTCCTCCTGCCCGACACCAATGAAAGAAAGAAAGAAGAAAGTCCTGCCAAACGAAACCATGGCCCTTGTTTGTATGAGCGCATCTTGCCTTCGACTACACTACGTGTGAGCGTAGACACGAGTAGACACGAGCATGTTGGAACGACAGTTTGGCGCGTCACCTTGGATGGGGGGGATGGGGGGGGGGGGGG